GTTGTCAATTATACACTTGTTTCTTTCCAGGTGCTCCACCACTCTCCTCCTGATGATGATCTCCATGACCTTGCATACTATACACGTTAGTGATACAGGTCTGTAGTTTAGTGCCTCATGTCTGTCTCCCTTTTTAAAAATTGGGACTACATGTGTGTGTGTGTGTGTGTGTGTGTGTGTGTGTGTGTGTGTGTGTGTGTGTGTGTGTGTGTGTGTGTGTGTGTGTGTGTGTGTGTGTGTGTGTGTGTGTGTGTGTACTTACTTAATTGTGATTGCAGGGGTCGATTCACAGATCCTGGCCCTGCCTCTTCACTGGTCTCTACTAGGTCCACTCTCTCCCTGTTCCAAGAGCTTTATCATACCTCTTCTTAAGATCATGTATGCATCATGCTTCCACTACATCACTCTCCACGGTTTCACTTCTTGACAACTTTATGGCTGAAGAAATACTTCGTAATATCTCTGAGACTCACCTGAGTTTTCAACTCCCCGTTGTGACCCCTTGTTGCTGTGTCACATCTCTGGAACATTCTGTCCCTATCCACCCTGTCAATTCCTCTCAGAATTTTACATGTCGTTATCATGCGTCCCCCTATCCCTTCTGCCTTCCAGTTTCGCCAGGTTGAGTACCCTTAACCTCTCCTCATAGGACAAACCCCTCAGCTCCGGGACAAGTCTTGTTGCAAATCTTTGCACTTTCTCTAATTTCTTGACGTGTGTGACCAGGTGGGGGTTCCAAACTGGTGCTGCAAACTCCAACATGGGCCTGACATACACGATGTACAGTGTCGTTTCTTACTTAGATGACTACATGCTATTCTCAGGTTTGCCAGGCACCCGTATGCTGCAGCGATGTGCTCGGTATGATGCTTACCCCAAGGTCCTTTTTCTTGAGCAAATTTTGCAGCCTTTGACCTCTAAGGCTAGAAAAATGACAGGATGGAAAATGAGAACCTTCAAAACTAGGGAGGGCAAGCCCATGATGACACTCTTCAGGTCACTTGTTCTATCTAGGCTGGAATATTGCTGCACACTAACAGCACCTTTCAAGGCAGGTGAAATTGCTGACCTAGAAAATGTACAGAGAACCTTCACGGCGCGCATAACGGAGATAGAACACCTCAATTACTGGGAGCGCTTGAGGTTCCTAAACCTGTATTCCCTGGAACGCAGGCGGGAGAGATACATGATTATATACACCTGGAAAATTCTAGAGGGACTAGTACCGAACTTGCACACGAAAATCACTCACTACAAAAGCAAAAGACTTGGCAGACGATGCAACATCCCCCCAATGAAAAGCAGGGGTGTCACTAGCACGTTAAGAGACCATACAATAAGTGTCAGGGGCCCGAGACTGTTCAACTGCCTCCCAGCATACATAAGGGGGATTACCAACAGACCCCTGGCAGTCTTCAAGCTGGCACTGGACAAGCACCTAAAGTCGGTTCCTGACCAGCCGGGCTGTGGCTCCTACGTTGGTTTGCGTGCAGCCAGCAGCAACAGCCTGGTTGATCAGGCTCTGATCCACCAGGAGGCCTGGTCACAGACCGGGCCGCGGGGGCGTTGACCCCCGGAACTCTCTCCAGGTAAACTCCAGGTAAGGCTGTACTCCGTCTGCTGTCTCCTTTGTCCTTCCCAATCTTCATAACTTTGCACTTGCTGGTGTGTGTACTCACCTAATTGTGGTTGCAGGGGTCGATACTCAGCTCCTGGCCCCGCCTCTTCACTGTTACTAGGTCCTCTCTCTCCCTGCTCCATGAGCTTTATCATCTCTCTTCTACTACATCGCTACATCACTTTCCAGACTATTCCACTTCCTGACAACTCTTATAGCTGAAGAAGCACTTCCTAACATCCCTCTGACTTATCTGAGTCTTTAACTTCCAATTGTGACCTCTTGTTGCTGTGTCCCATCTCTGGAACATCTTGTCTCTGTCCACTCTGTCAATTCCTCTCAATATTTTATATATCGTTATCATGTCCCTCCTGTTCTCCAGTATCGCCAGGTCGATTTTGATTAACCTTTCTTAGTAGGACATTTACCTTAGGTCCGGGACTAGTCTTGTTGCAAGCCTTTGCACCTTCCCTAACTTCTTGACGTGCTTGACCAGGCGTGGGTTCCAAACTGGTGCTGCATACTCCAGTATGGGCCTGACATACACGGTGTACAGACTCCTGAATGATTACTTACTAAGGTATCAGACTATTCTTAGGTTGTGTGTGTGTGTGTGTGTGTGTGTGTGTGTGTGTGTGTGTGTGTGTGTGTGTGTGTGTGTGTGTGTGTGTGTGTGTGTGTGTGTGTGTGTGTGTAAAAATAACCATTATCAGTTATAGGAGACCTAAGGTCACTGTCCTCTTTTCGGTAATTAAGCTTCTAATAGTTTATTCCATTGGTATAAAAGTGGCACATCTGCAACCTGAGGTAACTTTCTGGAGGAAACGTTTCAACAACCAGAGGGGCTTTATCAATGCAGTACAGAGGTCAGGTATAGCACAGGCTTTGTCCTGATGACTTAAAATCAATCTAGCTAAAATTTAGGATACTGAAGCTCTTTGTGCATTATACAACAGTATTGCAAAGACAACTGTTCGCAGATTCTAGACGTCGGCATTTATTTTAAATGATCTTCCTTGATAAGTTAGGTACTACTGCACTTCATCAAGTGGTTATTCCTTTAAATAACACTGGCATTATGAACATTGTACCACAGGCATATTGATGATCTTACAGGTGTGTCTCTCCAGATGTCTTCCCTATATATTTTTTTCTCGTATCCTCCACGTGTTGCGACGAGCTGCAGTTTTGGTTTTACACTTAAAGGTTTCTCGCTTTCTAAGTCTCTAATGGTAGTTGAGGAGTGAGTTATAATGTGCAACAGTTGGGTATCTATATTGTTGATCGTAACGTTTTACCTACACAGTAGGTTTCTTCAACCAAATATAGAGGCAGCAGGTGTCGTAGCGAGGTAAAGATCATGTAAACCATACCACGGGTGGGGCTTGAACCCGCGGCCAGTCGTAAAACCCCAGACGCGTTAGCCACTAGAGTTTCACAACTCTTTGACCGTGGGTTCAAGCCCTACCCGTGGTATGGTTTGTTTGCAATCGTGTCATTATGATTTCGTGAGTCAAAGACCATGTAGTCCGTATGTCAACCTTGGAGAAAAAGTATTTGAGGTGGTTAGTCCCTCAGCCTGGAGAAGCCTTCAGCTCCATGGTCTGGAACAATGTGAAGCTGAAGTATAGGAATGGAGGCTTAAATACTGCCATAGGCGAGTCCTGAAGGTGAGAAATTTCGCCCACCAGAGTTTTATCAATCAAATACAGACGTGAGAATGAAGAATTCTGTAGCGAAGCCAGTGGATGGAATTGATTGGTGTAATAATAGCAGAGGCGGTCGTATGTGGGCAGGCCACACTTGTGGAAAGAGGTCAGGCCCATAAGGTAGACCAGATATTTAACAATCTAGTTATAGACATCGAGTTTCCTACAAGGACCCTAGTGAGCAAACTAGTAGTGGAAGAAGTAGATTGATGTAGATGTAGCACATGTGTCTTGGATTATATATTCCTTAGATCTAAAATAACCACAACAATCTCACGAGTCTTACTAGGGACGCCAAGCCCATGATGATTCTCTTCAATTCTCTCTAGGCTGGAATACTGCTGTACATTAACTGCCGCCTTCAAGGCAGGCGAAATTGCTGACCTGGAGAATGTACAGAGAACTTTACGGCACACATAAGTACAATAAAGCACCTAAATTATTGGGAACGGTTTAAGTCCCTTGATTTGTATTCCCTGGAACGCAGGCGAGAAAGATACACGATAATATACACTTGGAAAGCGAAAATTACTCCCTACGAAAGCAAAAACTCGACAGGAGATGCGACATTCCCCAACCGAAAAGCAGGGGCTCCACGAGTACAACACAGTAAGTGTCAAGAGGCCCAAGACTGTTCAACTGCCTCCCAGCATACATAAGGGGGATAACTAACAGACTCCTGGCTGTCTTCAAGAAGGCGCTGGACAAGCACCTAAAGTCAGTACCTGACCAGCCGGGCTGTGGTTCGTACGTCGGCTTACGTGCGGCTAGCAGTAACTACTTGGTTGATCAGACCCTGATCCACCACGAGGTCTGATCTCAGACCGGGCCCCGGGCGTTGACCCCTGAAACCCTCTCCAGGTATACTACTGCACCTCATCGCCACTCCTGACTCCTTTTCTTATCCATACATTACGCTTTCCCCAGGTATCTCTATTGACTCTTGTACAGGTGAAAAGTTTCTTTAGTATTTTTTTTAAAAAAGGTACTTTGCATCTTTTTAATGTAATCTGTCGATAGTCAAACCGTTATATCATTTATTGTCCTAATTTGCCTCACTGCTACACTATTCACTTCATTTGCCTTTTCTAAGCTTATAAATCCAACAGCTTACCTTTAAATCTTCTTTGCTTATATACCTCAACATGAAAAAAAACTTTTCCTCTGCCCTCCTAAATACTCCTTGATCCTTTGCAATCCTACTTTGTCTTATCATTAACTATTCAATAAGCATTACCCAGAATACTCAGCAGGAGTATTCCCACAGACTTCTTACACACTCTCCTGTCCCTTTTTTTTCACAAAGGAATTATACACGTTCTCTGTCCTTTCTTTCACACACAATGAAAACTATATCCCCACGTACTATTATTATCTGTGTCTCAGTTCTTCTCTCGCAACTGGTTCACGTACTTTTATTCTTAACCCTGTTTCACCAACTTCACATGCACATTTGACTCTTCCTTTGTCCTAAAAAAAACCTTATTCCTCTCTCTTCAATGGATGAAATCACCGTCACCTTTCATCATTATTTAACGCTTAAAAATATGAATATACTATTATCTGAGGACTATTTACATAGATTAGTATGAGATTCTGTACAAGTTAACTTGTTTTTATTGAAACAGATAACAGTTTTATTATATAAGGACACCAGACTGACAAGTACTAACCTCGCACATACGGGAAGATAGCCTGGAGGAGCACTCTGAATTTGAACACGCTTGGTAAATGCTGTAACAGGTGGAACCGCAGTACATGTATCCTTCGTTGCAGTCGTTCTGTCGGTTCCATCCACCGATGTTCCTGGTGACCGGTCTACGATCAGGTATTCTCCAGAACTTTAAGGCAAAACGAGATTAATGTTATGCTAAACACGGTGCTATTGGATCAGTATGATCTTAAAGTACTGCTGCAATGTCAGGGGTAAGCACTGCAATCAGAATTTTAACACTGTGCTACAGTCGGTCCAGTTTCAATACGGTGCCACAGTCGGCACAATTTTAATACGGTACCATAGCCAGTATTATTTTAACATTCAACAGTATCTTAGCTTGGTATTTCAAGTCAGTATTATATTGATTAACTCAGTATCACTGGTTACTGCTCATCTTAGCACCTTGTTAAAACGAATTTGTTGATGAACGTGAAGCTCCACTAACATAGTCAATCTAGTTACAGACTGTGGCAGGTACTACTCCCAACTAGAGAATTCCTTCACCAGAACGGTTGACACCAGCCACAAAGTGCGACTCTAAACACGGGGTCTAGTGGAGTAATGCGCCGCCACACCAGTAGTTGGTCTGAATTTGATTTTATGTGAATAAAGGACTCCTTTTGGGGGTTAAGAGTGGAAGATGGGATGGATTAAGAAAAGGGTTTGTGAAAGGAGCGTCACTAAGGGTAGAGAAAGCCAGGGCTTAACCCAGCTGCTGGGACTTGGGGCTCATGCTATTTACGTCGCAATTACAGCATCATATGATTAATAACTCTTATTCCCTTTTCGGGCACTTGTTATTTTCCTTATTCTTCCCATTTCAATGGGTAAGAATAATAAGTAATACTGAAAAGCTTTTACCATTCATTAATTTTGGAGGGTTTTTTGATATTCAATATTTATGAAGTTTCGATTTTATATTATATATATATATATATATATATATATATATATATATATATATATATATATATATTATATATGCCGAAAAGGTAAAATTGGTTAGTAAGAACTCATTTAAAATTAAGTCCTCTCTAAAAAATTTTCTTTACACGTTTAAAGATATATTTTTTTTCATTTATATTAATGTAAAAATTAATGATTTTGTACCAAAAGAACCTTAGAAAACTTACCTAACCTTATTATAACAAGCGCAATTTAATTTAACCTAATCCAACTAAATATATTTTAGATAAGTTCGCAATAATTTAATAATAAACAAACACAATGAAATATATTTTTTCCTTAGGTTCAGAATGATTTTTGCTAAATTATTGCATACACAAATTTTTGCTTCCCTTATTCAGCAAGAAGAGCGTTGCTATTTAAGTCAACATCGCAAGTTTTACCTATTCGGCATATATATATATATACATATATATATTTTATATATATTATATATATTTATATATATATATATATATATATATATATATATATATATACACACACACACTATTTTCCGGCATACATGTTGCTCTCCCCCCCCCCCACACAGTCTTGAAAAATCAATCTGCGCCTTATATAAGAACATAAGACAGAAGGAACACTGCAACAGGCCTACTGACCCATGCGGAGCAGGTCCATGTCACCCCCCCGGATTAGACCAATGACCCACCTCCCGGATTATCCCAATGACCCACCCAGTCTGGCCATCCCCACTCAAGGATGGAGCACTGTACCAGACCCAGCAGCACAAGCTAGTCAGGTCCAACTCACAACCACCCACACCCACTCATGTATTTATCTAACCTATTTTTAAAACTACACAACGTGACTCAAAGTCATGGTCACGCGTAGGTTTTGGTTATTCTTTAGCAGTTGTTTGCCAACGTTACGTTACAACTGCTTGGAAACATCGTGTTATATGCTCGTGTGCCTTATATGCCTGAAAATACGGTGGGAAAGACACTTTACACACTAAATGGTGGGTAAGGGAGCCATCACTGCATTCTTTCACTGAGTTACACACAGTAATGCTGATGCACTGACTACCCCTGTTGCATCCTATCTCCGTGTGAAGACAGCTCGCCTCTGTTCCTGCTGGTAAGAAAAATGGCATTCGACGTGGGTGTTTTTTAAACATCTTCAGTTCTGAAAGGAATTTAATATTAATCTATGTTTGTGGGCCTTCATTATTATTATTATTATATTTACAACTCTAAATCCTAGTGGATCTTACAAAGCCAGAGGGCAGAGGTATACTAATGGCGGGGCAGGAAAATGCATGTACTAAAGGGGAGGTAAAGATATAATAGTCAAAATAGTTATCTCTGGTAGCGGTGAATAATACTCTTCGGAGGCGTAGCGTAGGTTTATTGGTGTTCTTGATACAGGCAGTGTGTCTAGGCCTGACCCAGAGGCCAAGCCTCTTCCTGGCCTGGAAAGGGAGAGGGGGAGAGAGAGAGAGAGAGAGAGAGAGAGAGAGAGAGAAGGCACTTGTTGCTGTTCTGCTGTCTGCTAGGATAATTAGAACACCGTAGGGTGAACTGAAGGTAGGCCTATGGCCACCAGACGGCAGCACAGCTCCCCTATCGGTAGTCATTGGAAACAAGTATGGGGTAGGCATACCCAGCTACAATGGTCTTTGTAATAAGCCAATTTCGTAAAAAAAAAGTGCACTGGAAATAAAACTGTCCGAGAACAGATCAACCTGAGGGCATCAGTGTGTCGAAACTGGGGACGGAAATAATTTTATTGGCCCTTCGATAAATGCGACAGTCAGTCTAAGAGGCGCTGGGCATCTCCCCATTTAGATATTAATGTGTGTGTGTGTGTGTGTGTGTGTGTGTGTGTCTTACGCAGGCGTATGAGACCAGTTTCCCACAACCACTAGCGATGAGAGGTCGCCCAGCAACGCAATCACGGTTTTAAAAAAATTAACAGCTTGCTGGTCATCAAGGGTTCAACCAAAAATCATGAATGCACAAAGACAGGAGAAAAATAAGTCACTATGGAACAACGGCAGGTCTTCGAGCTGCATAACAAGCAGAAACCACAAATTCATGACTCGGTATACGAATAGGTATTCTGACTTCTGCGCCGGCAGAAGTTAGAATAAGAGTTATCATACCTCAGCTCATTTCAAAGCCCAGCCCTATCTATGGTATACAACTCCCCCCCCAAGGTGCGATCCACAACAGTGGCGTAACACCCAGGCACCTACATGCTACTAGGTGGACGGGGGCAATAGGTGCACGTTGAGTGCAGAAGTCTCGCTCTTGCCTGAGCATCAGTGACAAATTTTCCTCCTCTCTGTGACGTGTTTTAGTACAGCCTGCCAGTGGTAAAAGTTTAAAGATGATCATTGTGGAATTTTTTTTACATAATTTCCTAAATATAGAACATAAAAATAACATAATAATTGCATATTATATGTGATGCTATTTGAAACCTTCGAGAAATTTTAAATGAAGGGGGGGATGTTGAAGAGCCGGAGAGTGACGTGAGCAAAAGACGCCATTTGTAATGTGTGAACACTGGTTGTCGTGGAAAATAATCTACTAATAATCCAGTGTCTTCCGAGACAAATTGGGGTGTTTTGGCCTGAAATTGTAATAGGAACCCGTGTTAATGTCCCCTGCTGAAGAACTGGGACAAGAAACTTAAGGGACCTTAAGAATTACGTGTGGATAGCGGAAAATATCGGATGTAAACATTACTCACAGGGAAGTACACCATTAGTCCTTGCATTTTAGATCTCTAGCTGGACAGTGTAGGTTCTAGGTGTTAGGTAGGCGTTGGGGTGTGATCCATCTACAGTAATTCAATGGTAAGTGTTAACACCAATTAAAATTTGTGTACCCAGCAAGCCCAGTCTTATACAGTACACACAACTTTAATTACCAGAGTAGCTGATCTTAACATTATAATTAATTTAATGTCAGGTCTAGCTTTTTGTGAGAGTGGTGAAGAAGTAGGAAGCCCAGGGAGTTACAGTTCAGTGACCAACTGTGACTAAGTCCCACTTGCCTCACCCAAATTACTTGCAGGTAATAATTCAGGTAATACCCTGTAAATCTCATGCAGGTAATTTACTCACATAATTTTCGCAATCATACAAGGCATTCTCCAGTAGTAATGATTCCAACGATTAAACTTACGGAGATCATCCTTATACAATGTATCGTCAATAATATTTTAAGCCAATCATAAGAAATATTCTTTAATTACTGAATCAGATATGAACATCACAATTTAATAAAATGAGCAACTTAGGACTTTAGCCACCCAATAACAGTGAGAACGTTATGTTCAGGAAACCACACCAGTAGTAAACATTTGAAGCTGATCAGACGAGTCATTCCCCAGTTATGGCATGGATTCCAATGTTGCCAAGTTTCTATTCAGTATTTTACTATATCATATTTGCCTGGACGCAAGCGAAACAAAATGGTTGTCACTATTCGTTGCAAGAGGGCAGTAGCAGCCACTTGGAAGGGAACAAGGAGACAGCTGCAACCACTAGAATTTTGAGACAAAAGCCTTATGAATGTAAATACTGTATTATTAGTAGTATTAGTATTATATTCATGAGAAACGTTAAATCCGTAGTCATATAGTACCTGGGGGAATGGAAGACAATGAGGTTCGACCCAAGGATTAGAGGATAGATTCAATTCCTTGTATCAAGAGCCCCTTCGCCGACATCAAGGAACCTCCTTTTATACAACAATTAATGCATATTATCTAATACAAAGTTACATTAAATTATAAATTAAATAAATATCTGCATGTAATTACAGATATATGTTAATTTGCTTATAAATCATTAATTTATAAATAGAAAGCTTCTCTATCGTACATAACCGTGAATTTTGCTGTATCCTCAGTCACACCAAATCTCTTAATATTTATAGTAAAGTGTATAAGATCACATTCCACAATATCACTAATAGAAAAATAAGAGTATACGTAACTTGCCTGCGAATAACAAGGCTGAGAGTACCAGTAACTTGACAAGTCTGGCAGGAACCATGGCGGCGGCTGCGGCTACTGCTGCGGCGGCTGCGGCTACTGCTGCGGCGGCTGCGGCTACTGCTGCGGCGGCTGGGGGCGGCTACTGCTGCGGCGGCTGCGGCTACTGCTGCGGGGGCTGCGGCTACTACTGCGGCGGCTGCGGCTACTGCTGCGGCGA